AATAGCAATCCCTTTGACCTCCTCTTGCTGGAAACACCTTCTTCTTTGCAAAACAACACCAAAAGGGGTTAAAATGGCTTCCTCTCTCACACCACTCGTTCAAGCTCTCTAGGGTTTCTCTCTCTGGACTGGTAGCCGCAAATGAGGGCTAGAAGGTTCTTTAAATAGGGCTCAGGCCCCCAGATTTAGGGTTTCTGTTCACAGTGCGGACTCGTCGAGTCCACCCATCGACTCGCCGAGTCCCTTCATTAATCCAGTCAGCAAATCGCGATCCTACTCGACGAGTCTAGGCGTCGACTCGTCGAGTCCCTCCTCAAAACTCAAAATAAATGAACATCATAGAATACCTGGAAATCCGGATGTTACATATATTGCAAATGGTGTTTAGATGGGTTGATTTGGTGTTGTCGGGAATGGATATGGTGCATGGTGTGTATTCGTGGTTAGACTCGATCAATATTTTAAGGAATCGAAAAACAGATCTGACATCTATTATTGATATAGTGCTTTAGGTGATTTGGAGATTCAAAAACGATGTCTTGTTTAGTGTCAAGATGCCAATTAAAGACCTTGTATTTGACAATATTGATGTCTTCATTTAATTGGTTTTGTGTATAGAAGCCACAAGATGAAGGCTACTTGTGTTGAGTGATTGTAAAACCCACTTTTAGCTAGTTATGTTTAATATTTATAGCTTCTTGTTAGTTTTGAATAAAATTCAGCTCTTAAAAAACTGTCAAACAAACAATAGAAAATCATTACTAGGTTTTTTAGCCAACTATGTAACGAACACATAAAAATATTTAATTATGTAAAATATAGATATATGGTGGTTGAATTCCATTTAACCGACGTTAACCTATTACTCAAATATTCAAAATAATAACTCATAAAAACCATATTAACTACTAATAAAGTTCATATGTGCATGTAATAAATCAAAATGAATATGTAAATCTTACAACGATTTCCTAACCAATAATTAAAAAAAAAATTCTTGAAATATATAGCTATTGGACGATGACATCAAATCAAGAAGTAGATATGTTTAATATTGTCAATATCTCTAAACTTAAATACAATTTTTCATGTAATACACGGATCATTTGTGTAATTTACTTTCAAATAATTTGATTATCGTTTCCAACACATGAACTTAAGCTTTCATTCGAGATATTAATTTCCATCAGGTTAAATTAGATTTCAACAGGAAGTCTCAAGTGTATGATGTATTCATGTTTGTGCAATGTTGATCTAATCATCTAACATCGTTGTCAAGGATCTATACCAAATCCACGACAACTTGATTTTTTATTCGTTTGTGATTTTGTACAGGTCAGATTTTAAGAATTTCTTCTTTCTCATCAAGGTAACAGCTGTTCATTTCATTAACTTAATTAAATTTCATGAATCATCTGCAATTTATCGTGGTTTGACTAATTCTTCGAAGCACGTATAAATCTAAAGTTTGAAAGCTAAATCGATAGAAGTATTTGTTTGTATTGGTGGAGTGTTTCAAGAAGAAACTCCTTTGGCTTTCCACCTGCTACAACGACTCCATGATTCAATTCTTATAAGTACTGCTAGTTGGCATTTTTATCGTGCTTTTTTCTTTTTGTTGATGTAAGGAATATAATTATTATATTATCTTAGTCTAATTTCATCATCAAGTGGAAGTAAATTCAAATATTAGTCTTGTTGATGGATGGTGGATCCTTGTGTGTTAGGTATTTTTTGCATGTGAACTTAGCAGCCATTTTTGTCTCTTTTTTAATCCTAGGTCAACTAGTTCCAGCTTCGAAAATCTCTAAGGCTTAATAATATTGATGAACGACGGATTGAAAAACAAAGGCAGAGGACTAGACTGAGTCAAAGGGCTTGATATCTATTAAGGATCAATAAAAAAAGGATACAATGTAAATATAAATCAGGAAAAACTTCAACATGATGGGAAAGCAAAAAAAAAATTCACAATACATTGAATTCCATAACATTCAATGAATTGCATCATCATCATTTTACATTCCGTACAACTCTATCATTTTTTTCTACAATGCATCGAACTCTATAGAGTTCAATAAATTATTACAAAAACCAATTTATAATATCTATTTAAAAATTTTAAAACTATCCATTTTTCTATTGAAGAGTTCGATTACCATTGAAGTTCAAATCTATTGAATGTCAATGTGGTATCTCAGAATTATAGAGTTTCATCCATTGACAAATAGACTTGTGCACTACAAGAATATCACCCTTTAACGGCGATACTATTACCGGCGACGTGTACTTTTAGCGGCGACAAATGCTAGAGTCGCCGCTAAAAGTATACGTCGCCGGTAATAGTGTCGCCGCTAAAGGCTTATCAACCGAATCCGCGTTTTCCCCCTCCGTTACATCTAAGCCGTTCGATCAAATATCAAATCCAACGGTTGGGGTACCCTTATCCGCACTAACCTAATACCGGCGACATATGTGTCGCCGCTAAAAGGTAAAAATGTCGCCGCTAATAGTTAGCTGAAAAATGACGCGGTACCCTTCCCTCCAGATTGTCGCTGCTATTGAGCATTGTCGCCTGTAAAGCTCTTATTGTCGCCGCTAAATGTGTCGCCGCTAAAGGCACTCGCAGATTAAAAAAAAACGCACGCAGTTTCTTCATTTTCTCCATTCTGCTTTCTGTTTGCCTTCATTTCTTCCCAGTCGCTCTTTCAGTTACATCCTGAGTTTGTCTTCAATTAGGTTGTTCCAACTACATCTCCCCACATTGTGTGAGATTAAGGATCAAGGGGTGGTTAGGGCTTTTGGGACCGATTTCTAGCTTCATTTCTTGAAGAAAGGTTAGTTGATTTTGTTGTTTCCTTTTTAATTTGTGTGTTAATTTCGATTTGTAGCTGCATTTGATGATTAAATGGCAATAAATTGTTCAATTTCTTGTTTTTGGTGATGTTGTCTTTGGATTAGAAAAAAAAAATGAATTTGATTGTTGTATTGCTTCCACCGGTTGTAGTTTAGCCTTTGGGGACATTTGGTGATTATTAAGAGCTGAATTTGATGATTAAATTGCAATAAATTGTTCAATTTCAGTGTTTTTGGTGGTGTTGTCTTTGGGTTTACCGGTGAGGGTATTTTCGGGTGAAGACCAATTTTTCGGGCTACATATCCGTTGATTTCCGCCACTACAGGTTCTATTATTTCATTTTTTTGTGAATTTGGTATTTGTATGTGAAGATTGCCCTATGTGAAAATTAGATTGTATATTTGGTATTTGTATGAATATATGTGAATTTGGTGTATATATGCCAATGTATGTGTGTTTGATGTATATGTGGTATATGAGTATTTGGTAGAAGTATATATATGATGTTATTATCTATATATATGTGAAATTATATGTATTTGTTATAAGTAGGATGTTATTGTGTGTATGTGAATGTTTATTTCTATGTAATGTGTATTTGTAAAAATAGCAATCTACTTTATCATCGTAAAATGCATGTTGATTTGGTAATTTTGGTTTTGTGGTGATTATTTGCTAAAAAGTTTGGTAATTAGGTTTTTGTCCCAAGTGCAAAAAATAACAACGTACTTTGGTTTTTTGTCTTAATTTAAAATTAACTATGTATTTTGATAGTTTTTGTTTATTTTTGATAATTTAACTTATAAGTTTATATATGTTGTTATTAATTATGTAGTTGGAAAATCTCTTTGCGATGCTGAATGACCCGACATGTAGGGATGAGCTGTATTCGTTTTTTTCAATCCCAAAATAATCGAGGAAAACGATGGGAATGAAGATGATGGTATATAGTACATGATGAGTTTTATTTGCATATGTTATCACGCTTTGCTACTTGGTAGATTGTAAAACTTTGATTGTTTTTTGTAATTGCCGGCGACACTAATACCGGGCGACATTATTACTTTTTATATTTAATCGGATATTATGACTTTTGATATTTAATTAATTATAATCGGATGTTTGTTTTGTAATTAGTATCGACATTATTATTTTTGATATTTAATCGAATGTTGCTATGTAATTACCGAGTACATTATTACCGGCAACCGAAATCGTTAATTACAAAAAAAAAAATTAAAAAATGAAAATCGTAATTACCGGCGACACTATTACCGACGACAGAGTTATTACCGGCGACATTGTCATTACCGACGACACATATCATTAGCGGCGGCATCTATCATTAGCGGCGACAAGTTCATCAATAGCGACGAAGTAGTAGCGGCGACGCGTCGCCGCTATTACTATTACCGGCGACATCTTGGCTTATTACCGGCGACTTTTGTCGCCGCTAATGATCGTTTTCCTTGTAGTGCTAATGATTTAACCTGTAATTTAGATTAAGCCTCTTCTTGTAATGGATTAAAGGTAATCATCTTTAGAATATCTACCATATGTAAATGCATCATGTAATAAGATAAGAAAACACATAAATGTAAGACAAAATTACACAAATGGTCCTTGTAACCGGCGGAGAATGCCATTGCTAGTCTTTTTGAAGTATTTCTAACATGATTGGTCCTTTTCAAGTTTAAAAGGCACACGATGGGTCCTTGTGGTTGGCATAAAAGGACTCATCGTGTATGTTTTAAACCTGAAAAGAACCAGTTATGTTAAAAATTCCTCAAAATGACTTGGAGTGGTATTTTCTACCAACCACGGAGCATTTGTGTAAATTTGTCTAGATATAAATAATTAAGGAAACTTAAGAGCAGTTGATCTTTCAATTTTAGTTGAATCTTTACCCAAGATCAGTTAAATATCACAATCACCATATGGATGTGGACACTTGCGTTATTATAATTTTCTTACATGAACATATTCTAAGGCGGCTTGTAGTTGTACATGTACAGCTCATGTATCAAATAGAAACAAATACAAATTGAACAAATAGTCAACCATGTAATGGATCAAACTACAAGTCTTCCATATTCTTAATGTTTTCAAGAAATCTCATTCTCATCACATAAATACCTTCTTTAAAGTTTCATTTATATCAAACATCTTTCAAAAACATGGGAAACTTTCCAAAGATTGCATTCTATTCATCCTTTCTCTTTATTCTGCTCGCTTTGAAAGTTAGTGGACGTTTAATTTCAGATGGAAAAGATGACGTGGCACAAGGAGAAGAAGGATCGTCTTTCTTGCAACTCAAAGGAATTGATTCTTCAGAAGAAGAACATTGTGAGCAAATGTATGGATTTTTACCATGTTCAGAGAACATTCTAGGCCATTTTTTCCTCATTATTGTATACGAATACCTGTTATATCATGGTGAATGCTACGTTTCTTCTGGTGGAAAAAGAATCTTCAAGATTCTTGGCCCTGGTATCTTTGGTGCTAGTGCTTTTCAAGTCCTTGGTTTTCTTCCTGAATCATTAATTCTTCTTGGTATGTTTTCTTTTTAAAAAAAAAAAAAAAGATTCTATATATTATAACAGACTTTGGCTTTTAACAAGATTTTCTATATAAATTGTAGTTTCTGGACTTTTTAACACGCAAGAAGTAGCACAAGAATATGTTCTTACCGGTGTTGGGTTGCTAGCTGGATCAACAATATTTCTTCTCACTTTACTTTGGGGAACATGTGTAATTATTGGAAGTCAAGAATTTGAATGTGAATATAATTCTAATACTTCGTTGGCTCCTACCCAAAACCATTTCAAGAAGTTCTTTTCGTTTCTTAATGGTTAGTTACATAAAGATTCAATCTTTTCAACATTTAACTTGTGGGTTTTCAAATTTTAAATTATTTTGGTGTCATTTTCTCATTTTCTTTATGTTTCTTGATTTAGGTTGTGGTGTAACTACAGACAAAGAAACAAGTTCAACTGCAAAGATTATGCTCATTTCACTTATACCATTTTTGTTTCTTTTGATCCCGAAATTATTCGGGATGATATATACTTCTCATGGATATATTTTCATAATCACACTTCCTATTTCGGTTACTTTCTTGTTAGTTTACTTCATTTATCAGGTAATTAAACATCAATTTAAAGAAGACAAAACTTAATATTAGAAAATTGTTACATGGGTCGATTTTCTTACAACGTTTTTTTTTTAATAATTGTGTAGGTGTTTGAGCCCTCGATCCAAAAGAGAAGATTGTCATATGTAAAACATGAGCATTTAGTTTTAGACATATTGAAACATTTGCAAGAGCACACTGCAGATAAAATACTCACTGAAGATGGTTTAGCAAACTTGCCTGCTATAAAAGGGTTCGTTTCTTTTTTTCTTTTTTCTTCTTTTAATTTTTTTTTATAAAAATTTGGATTAAATTTTGGTATTGGTTTACACTTTACAGTTTGTTTACAAAGATTGATCAAGATGGAGATGCATACATATCTTTTCCTGAACTCAAAGGACTTCTACAAGATATAAAATTTAGGCAATTAACTTGGGATAAAGAGCAAACAATTGAAGAAGTAATGAAAGAATTTGATTATGATGGTGACACAAAAGTAACAATTGATGAGTTCACTGATAGATTCACAAAATGGCTTGATGAGACTAAAAATGCAGTAAATAAACCTTATCGCTCAGTTAGTTCTTGGAAAGATTTATATCAGGTACTTTATCATTATACATTAGAAAAAAAAAAAAAAAAAAAAAAAAAAACATTGTAGTTTAAGCAATTTTATGGTTTATACGCTAACACTTTATCTTTTCCTATCAAAACATTAACGTTTCAGACATTTTTTCAATTAACCATTTTGACCTATTATATAGTAATTTTGTTATATCTTGTTGCACTCGTTATTTTCCAAATTACCATTTTGACCTTATAAGGTCAAAATGGTTAATTTAGAAAAACGTTTGAAACTTTTATGATTTGATTGAAAAAAATTAAGTATAAATGGTTAAAGTGCAAAATTGTCCCGTTTTTTTTTCTTTGTAATTTGCTGTTTTAAATTTATAGTAGTTATGTTAAAAAACTGATTAAAACTCCTTGAAATATCTAATTTCTAGGTTGTCCAACCATGGGTTCAAACCAAAAAGAAAGAACGTGAAATGATGAAGGTTCTAGTATCAGAAATTATCAGGCATGATAAAAATACTCCATTTGGAAACTTTTATAAACAAGATGGAAAACCAAATGTGTCAGCCATAAAGAGGTATAAAACCGTAATAATCAATTTCCAAAAGGGTATAAAAGTCAATGTTTCATTATTCACTTAACCAAATAATTAATTCCTCTTGAAAATTGTAGATTGTTTAAGAGCTTAGATGTCAACAACGATAACTCAATATCATTATCCGAATTAAAACAACTTATGATGAACGTTGACTTTGGTCAAACATCATGGAATGTGGATGAAGCAACATCTCACATAATGGAAGATCTTGACAAAAGTGGAGATAACCAAATTGATGAAGAGGAATTCATTGATGGATTTAAAGATTTGCTCAACACAAATGATCAACTATTGACCCCTACAACACCCGGCCCTAAAAATATATCACGGGTAAATTTCAAATTTACAATTTTGGTCCCTATGTATAACTGATTTTTACAATTTTGGTACCAAAATGTTTTCTCTTTTAGTGTTTGTCTTTATTCGAGGTTTTTGTAACGTTTTTTTTATCCATGTTCAAGTAAAAGTAAAACGACTTATATTTATGGACCAAAAATGCAAAAATCAGCTAACTCAGGGACTATATTACATAGAACAAGGACCAGAAACATTACAAGAACCTCAAATAAAGACCGAAATTGTCAAGAAAAACTTTGGGACCTAAAAAGGAAATGTAATTTGATAACTATGCAGAAGCCATGGGAGAGATATGAAAATGATGACGTGGATAGAAGTTTGTGGGGATGGACAAAAGCTGTAATGCTATTGGTTCTTGGGATTGCCATGCTGGCACTTTTGGCTGAACCACTTATACACAGTGTACAAAATGTGTCCAACTCAGCAACAATTCCATCTTTTTTTGTGTCCTTTGTTTTTGTCCCATTGGCCACAAATGCAAGAGCGGCTGTAGTTGCAATCCAAACTGCAAGTCAACGGAAAGAGAGAACCACTTCGTTGACCTTTTCTGAGGTAATCAATTAATTAAGGGTTGTATAAATTATAAACTATAAACTATAAACTATAAAATTACTTTTTTTTTTTTTTTAATATGTTTTTATTTTTGCAGATATATGATGGGGTGTTTATGAACAATGTTCTGGGATTTTCTGTTCTTTTAGCAGTTGTGTATTTCCGAGGGCTGATTTGGCATTTCACTGCTGAATTATTGATTGTGTTTATTGTTTGTATCATTATGGGGACGACAGCTGGCTTCAGATCAAAGCTTCCTATTTGGACATCGATTACAGCTTACCTGTTGTATCCGTTATCTTTGATTTTTGTGTATTTTTTTGCGGATTTTTGAAAGAAAAAAGAAAACAATAAGTAGAGGAGAATTTCTTTTGTTGTATAAAAGATGAAATGTAGAGATGATGTATTAAAATTGATTTTTCATTTTATTTTTTCATGTACAAAAGTGTTCTTTTGAAACTTGTATAAACAACATACGAGATGATGAAATGTACATTTGTTCCTTTTTGTTGAAGTTAATTGTTGAGTTATGTACTTTTTAGGGCTCTTCTTAATCTCCTCTTATTTGCTTATTTATTAAGGGATCACACTCATGCTATCTCTAACATGTATTATATTTGGGTAAACCTTCTTCATGTGTACTAACTACTTCCTATCATTACCAAGTTTCCGTATTAGAGCTTATTTCAATTAAAAATAACTATTTCAAATCCCAAAACTTAAAGCATTGAGCTATTAACGATTAGGTTCTAAGATCTTAATTCTAAAATATACAAATTAAATTTCAATACCGATTAATGTTAAATACCAAGGATAAGTTACTTTATCCTAGAGTATATAAAGAGGAAATACTAGTATTACATCCTAAACTCACACCATTTACTTTTTTAATTCTTAATGAGTACTAAAGTTTAAATCTAAGCACTAAAGTATCTAGTTCACTTAAATTAGTGTCTTGGTACCAACTAAAATGCCCCCCCCGTCATATTGATATGTTAGTCTATGTATATATATAAATATATAGATATATATATATATTATATAATATATATATATATATATATATATATATATATATATATAATATATATATATATATCATTGTATATCTTAGGGCCCAATATTTGGCCTTTATGTGTAGCCCAAGTCATTATTGTATTTCTAATCCTATTATATTTTGTTCATTAACGAGAACATATCTTTCAATAAATGTCATCATGGTTAGTAAAGTAGTTTTCTTACCTTGGAAAACTGTATTCGAATATTTTTCATCCTAAACCATATTCATGAGTTATGGCGAGAGTTCTTGTGTGATAATCGAACTAGGATTTAGAACTATGGTTTGATTTTTTTGACGTGCTTTCTCGATATTAACATTCTATCTGCACTACGACATCAATTTTTGATTTTCTTATTCTAGAAAACTTCAAAACGTAACATCTTTCGCAAAATGAAACATATTTTTGTGGAATATCATTTTCTACGTTTTAACAAACTGTTTGTTTAATTATTTTATATTTTAGGTCAAATTTGTGTATCTTTGTATATTTCACGAATTATGATGAACATTCGTGATTTGACCTCTTATAACACGGTTGATAGTTTTTTCATAGTAACAATAATTTTCTCCTCTAGTTCCACCATTGACACCAACTTCAGGGACAAAACTAGAGTGAATTCAATGCAAATTTTATCGACAACAATGTCCTAGGTCTTGTTTTTCAGTTTAATGTAATATGAGTGTCGTTGAGGCCTCACATGTCCTAGTCGAGTTTTGGCATGCCATGGCTCTATTTCAATCTCCATCATTGTAATATTAATGAATTTGGTTGTAGTAACATGTTTGATGAGTTTTTGGTAAGACAATATATAATAGAAAACGTCATGTTATTATAAAAAACTATTATCGAAGCGAAACTACAATTTAGTACCAAATTATTTTAGATGTTATTTATCTAAATCAAAGTTTGATAATCATCTAATGCTTGGTTACCGTAAGCCCTACTTTATATCCTGACACCCACATATGGGCTGATAAAGGAGACGGACAAGTGAGATAAGCATGCCCCTTCTTGTTGCATAAGTTACATGTTTTTTTTTGTATTCACTGCCCTTGTTGAGACAGTATACAATTGTTGTTACATGGCCGATCAGCTTGACGTTTTTTCGTTAGCAGTGGTTTCATGGTCATCACTTCATCAAATATTTCCCATTCAGAGAGATATTTCGAATATGGTTCACTATTTTTTCATATGTTAATCCACATACTTTTCACTAAGGTGCGGTCATGCCTACTCGCGATATTCTGAATAATTAAAGCCTAGTGAGATACACATGTCTTAGACAATACGTATTATGTTAGGTTGGAAAAGCATATATGTTTTATACAATATATATAATCATCCAACTATATAATTATTTTAAAATTTTCTTCCTATTTACAAAAAAAAAATAAAAAATGTCTCACTCCTAACCACTGAAATCCATGATTTCGCCATGTTATCACTAAATCTCCAAAATCAATTAACAAGGATTATAATTCATACATCTTTAATGTATTACGTAAGGCTCGAGGGTATGTAGTGGGATAGATGACGGGAAGCTTACCCGCACCTCAGATTACAGTACCGAGGGTGCAGAAACGGAGTGAGGGTAGGCTTCCCCGCCTCCTCTCTCTTGCTGTGATTGACGGTAATTTTTCCTTTTTTCTTTTTCTTATTCAAACGGTCGGAAATAGAGAATATTATATATATATATAGATATATATAATATATATATATATTATATATATATATAATATATATATTATAGTATATATATATATATAATATATATATATATATATTATATATAAAAGTTGGATCGAGTAAGAACTCAAAAATAAGTAAGGACTACGAGGAAAAATCTTTGCAGCAAGATTGGAAAATTAAAATATTGAGATTTGGTTTTATTTATCGCCAATATCTCGCGAGATGATGATATGTTGTTTTTGTAAATATGTGCGAGATTTTGATATTTTCCAACAAAGGTTAATTTTTTAGAGGTTAAATAGGGTTTTAGGAAAGAGGGAAAAAAATATCCCCCCCCCCCCCCCCCCCCCCCCCCCCCCCCCCCCCCCCCCCCCCCCTCCAACGATGCATTTCCCCACGAAATTGGTGTTGGAGAATTATCCTCACAGTCCTTCCCATTTTTGAGTTTTCACAGGAACTGGGACCAGATATATATTTATATATATATATATTATATATATATCTATATATATATATATATATATATATATATATATATATATATTATATATATATATATAAACGTCCTAAAATAATGACATAAAATTTCCCAAATTCGATTAATAAATCGTAATACATAACAACTCCATAAAACCAGGGTAATCATGATTTAACAAAATATCATTAAATCAGAGTAATTCACAGAATGCGGAAACATATGGTGTGTGCTCTACAATCATCCCGAGCCCCTCCATTTTGAAAACCGAGGTACCTGAAACATAAATTGAAAACCGTAAGCACAAAGCTTAGTGAGTTCCCCAAGATACCACATACCATACATATATAAATCACATACTGGCCCCCCACCCTCCATCGGGCCTCTCCCGGTCTCGAGTCCCACTTGGCCTCAGGCCCCGCCCGATACACACATAATCATATAACCATATAATCATATACACATACAACCTAATAACACATGCAATAATCACAAAGACTATAGCATTCCATACATTCATCGAGCCCCGCCCGGCCTCGGGCCTCGCCCGGTAATCATAAGACACATACTGATAATTAACATACGATATCCTCCTTAGGCCTTTCCTGGCATCGGGCCTTGCCTGGTAAACATATCATCATATAAGACACGCAAAATTCGAACAAACATCAAGTATCCTAACATAAAACCATGGGTCGGCATTGGTGCCTTCGACCCGCTAAACGTAGTGAGGAGACTCACCTCGCACTGCCGAAACACACAAACGATCCCTGGCTGCTGGCTGACAGATTCCCGAACTGTCAGTATCAAAACAACACCCAGTTACCAATTGGGTTCCAAACCATAACCATAAATACATACTCAGGGTAAAAAGACCATTTTACCCCTAACCTAGCTTGGTCCAAGACCAAGGACCAAACTCATAACCTGAAAGGCCCGAAAGTGAAATAACCAACCAAAACCAATTATGGGCCAATTTTCCAAATTGGGCCCAAACCCCTTACATAGGACTTACCCTAAGGCCCAAACAATTTCCTAGTCCAAAACATTTATACTCAGTTGACCCATTGAGAACTCAAACAACCAAGCCCAAAAAAGAAGCCCAACACGAAGCCCAAAAGGCCAAAACCCTCTTGACTGAGTACGCGGGGCGTACTCAGCTGTACGCTAAGGGTACATGCCGATTGGCTTGTACGCTGTGCGTATAGACTTGTACGCTCAACGTACTCCTTCATTAAGCCATTTTCAACTTTAAGCTCTTAATGCTTAAGTCCAGAAGTCTAAACCATAGATCTAAATCATAAACAACGTCTAGAACCATAATGTCATTGACTTGGTGACTTTACATGACCCAAACGAACCCAACATCAAAATAAAGCATTATACTTCCACCAATGAACACCATCACATACATGGATGTATTCCAAACCTTAAAGGAGACAACTATAAGCATCTAGAACCTCAGAAACTCCAAGAGTGGCAACTCATAGCTCCTGGAGTGGTACCAAACCACTAGATCTCATTCTTGGGACCAAAATGAACCAAAAACTTATACAAACTAGATCTCAGCCAACAATGAACATGATTTAAGATTTTTACCTCAAACAAGATGGAAATGAAGCACATAATCCAGATCCATAAGCTCATCCCTGATTCACAACCTTGCATCAGACTCCATCTTCTTGGAAATGACCCAAAAACACAAAAATGCACATCATGAGCTCAAAATTACAAACATGGAGGCTTAGAGACGATTTCTAGGGTTTTGGGAACTTGGAGGCTGGTAAAGAGGCCAGACTTAAGGACTAAATATGTTTATATAGGGTCCAATACCAAAAAGTAGGGTTTCTTAACTCCCCTCGCACGCCCCGCGTATCTCCTCGTACACCCAGCGTACGAGGCTTCGCATTCCCGATCAGCCCCTCGCACTACGCTCAGTGTAATCCACACTACACCTCGTGTACCCTCCTCCGCAACAGTATGCCCCGCGTACTCCCTAGGTACGCCCCGCGTACTAGGGTTTCCCCTCAAACCCTACACATTCCGAAGGCCATAACTTCTTCGATATACATCCAATTCCGATGATCCATATATAATTGAAAAGGTAATGAAAAGCTCTATGTTTTAATCAACTCGTACCCACCTGACCATATCCTGAAAAAAATTCACTTTCCAT